ACTTTCGATGAAACATTGTTTTATTTAATTGCTTTAGCTTCTGAACTGTCCAACCCTCTTTGTACTTGTTGTTCATGATCTTCAATATTTGTAACCTCAGAGGTAACATGATTAACTTACTTTATATACTTTTAAATATTATCTCATTTTTTTGTCCTACATTAGTTTGCTTACGACGCATTTTTACATACGAAAATATAGGGTGTAACATATATCCGATATAAGTTCACTACAGAAAGTTCAAAGGGAAACCTACTTATCCAGATACAATTAATTTTTACATGTAAAACACACACACATCCGTGCATTCCTTTATTTTATAGCCATTCCCCATTCATGTGGGGGATTGTTGGGATTTTAAGCTTGTGTAGCTTAAAGAGGGTGAATGAGAAATGGAGGAAAAATAAAATATTTGAGTTTTCCTCCTTGGCAAAGGGACATTGTCCCATATTGGAGGAAGAAAAGGTTTTTGATTGGTATATATGTAATTGCTCTTCTTCTAGCTCTTAAAGAGTTAAGAAGAAGGCAAGCCTCGCGTCGTCGCCGTCGTCGCTCGCTCGGCTCGGCTTCGGCTTCAGATTTGGATTTGGATTTGTTCAAAAATCGATTGATTGATTAATCTTTTTGGAAATTTTTTTTTTCAATTATTTAATTAATTAATTAAATAATTAACGAAAAATTCAATCCTGAATAACCTATGACCCGTGACCCGGTCCAGTAAGGCCCGTTTTCTTTCCCGGATTATTTTAAATTCATTTTCTCGCAATATTTCAAACAACCTGTTCCAACAGCCATGGCTATTTCTGAAAGGTTGCAAACCTTTTCCGAAACAATGCGAGCAACTCTATAAATATACTTTGAATCCTAGAATCTTTCCTTATGAAATTTTCTGATCTTCTTCTTCTTCTTCTGCACAAAAAATTCCAGTGTGTTTTACAGCGTTCGAGTGGCTCGCTGTTCACCGGCGTTTTTGGTACCAACACTCCGGTGAGTTAAATTGTTCTATCTTGGGAGTGCTAAGTTAATATTTTTTAGACAAAAATACCCCTCCCTGTCCGTATAAAGCAGCGATATCTGCCGCTCCACCGTCAAAATTCTCAACTTTTTGAACTTCAACAAAAATAGCGTGATCCGTTCCTTCATCTTCATCAGAATTCTCCATATTTTTCAACGCATTAGCTTCATTAAAAATTTAAATTATTTGCTCCTTCTTCTTCCAAATTACAACAGCATTTGTAAATACTATTTCGTATTATTTCCACATTGAAACTTTGTATTTCATATTGTTTCTGCATTTGTTCATCAATAAAACTCGAGCTTCGTGAGACAAATTAGTTAGAATCATATTTAGTATTTTTTGAAGTTTAATAATTGAAAAGGAATGTGAAATCAAGCTTTATGTTACAAATTATTTCGAATCTGCTTACGTAATTCCCCAGGTTTAATAATTGACAATGCAGGCCAATCGCAAAAAAAAAATGAATCTTAATTCTGTATGATTTTGATACTTCCAATAAATATTTAGTTGTTCTAAATTAGAGGCTTCAAAATAATTTTGAAAATCAATCTGAAGTATTGAAAAATGTAGAAATAACTACAGAAACCTATCTCTAAAGTACATGAATTTTCATAGATAATAGCAAAAGCATTCCACCCTCTAGGGGACTTCATAATAACTACTCTGAAGATTCATACTCCCTCTGGTCCACTTTAATTGATTTTTTGGCCTTTCTTTTGTGGTCCACAATATTTGATTTTTTCAGATATCAAGAAGGAATTAACGTCTTTTTTCTAAAATTGCCCTTGGAGTAAAGAGCTTAGGAGTATTTGTTGTATTTCCAACGAACAAATTAAGGTTAATTTGGTCAATGAAATTAAGGTTAATTTCATTGTTAATTAATGAAAAATTATCCATTCCTTAATATGTGAGAAAATATCCAAAAATCAATTAAAGTGGACTGAAGGGAGTAATATATAACCTACAACTTCAGGGGACTTCAGAAAAATTAATTTGTATATAACTATTTAATAAATACTTGAATGCAGGTATGGGCACGACAACTTGCCTTATCGTTGCTTTCAACGGCACATGGATCTCAAATTATAAATACTTGGATCATGATACGAAACTTGTTAACGTTTGGTTCTTTTTTGAAAAAATATTACTGAAGCTACAAATTTTAATAAGGATAAGTATGTATTAAAAATATGGTTTAATATTAAGACAGGGACTAGCAAAAGGATCCTTTGTAACAATAGATGATGGACTTAGAACCTGTATGCATTTGCTGAAACATGATTCATAATACAGGAGTTCTTTTTTCGTCATTGAAACATTAAAAATAGTTTCTGATCCTACAAACTCCGGCATATTGCAAAGCTTCCCTGATCCTCCAATTGCTTCAGGCTCTGGAATATTGCAAGGCTCTTCTTACACCACAATTGCTCCAAACTCTGAATCATTGTAATGTCACGATCCCAAATTCCCACCTTAGGATGTCGTGATGGCACCTAGTCTCTAAGATTAGATAAGCCTAACCTACATTGAGAGTTAACAGAAATAACATCTTAGATATCAAATTAAATTGTTAAGCTATCATAATATAATCCAAACGGTACATCTGTCAAATAACTTCCAAAACCTGGTGGAACTGATTCATAAGTTCTACAAAGCATGCACTAATAATCTCTAATTACAATACTGTTTTGAACTAAAAATAAACAGTAATACAGCCAAAAGTAGAAGGTGATTTCGAGGCCTGCGAGCATCAAGAAAGTATACCTTGAAATGTCCGAAATAACTGATCAAATCACTGGTGTCCGGCTCGAACGGATGTACCTGAATCTTCACAAAAATATGCAGAAGCATAGAATGAGTGTCACGACCCAAAATCTCACCTTATGAATCGTGATGGCATCTAACACATGAATAGATCTAACAGAGATAACCAACTTACTATATAAAACTTAAACTGATAAATAAAATAATATAACTAAAACTGAACAAATGTTATAAAATTCCCAGAACCCGGTAGTACAGAGTCATAAGTTGTACTGACATACACTAGAATTTTTATATACAATAATGTTTTGAAATAAAGATAAATAGCAGTAAAGATAACATCTGAAGGTAACTCCGAGGCCTGCGAATGTGAAACAGGTATACCTTGAAGTCTCCAGCCACACCGACACAACTCTCAAAACCAACACGATCAGAATTACCTGGATCTGCACAAAAATGTACAGAAGTGTAGCATGAGTACGCCACAGCGGTACCCAATAAGTATCAAGACTAACCTCAGTGGAATAGTGACGAGGTAACTCGAGACACTCACTAGACATAAAACATGTGCAAGATATTAACATAAAACTAGCAACGAAAAGAATATCAATGTAAGGCTAACGACAGAAAGAATGTTAATATAAAACCAAAAAGGGATTAATAGAAACACAATTGGCAGCAAGAAGTAAACGAGTAATAAAGCAGCAAAGTAATTGTCACGACCCGAAATTTCTACCTTCGGGACCGTGATGGCGCCTAACATTTTACTTGCTAGGCAAGCCAACGTTAGAATAATATTTGCCATTTTAAAATAATTTTTAAATTTATTAATAACAGAGAAACAAATACGGAAGTAAAGTCTAAAATATAGTGAATAATCCATATAAAAAAAATATAACGGAGTTTAAATACCATCCTAGAATTAGTGTCACAGGTGCATGAGCTTCTAGAATAATACAAATAAAGGTCTGAATAAAATAAAGCTATCTGAAAACAAACACACAGCTAAAGTAAAGTAGACGGGGACTTCAGAACTGCAGACGTTGTGCAGTTATACCTCAAGTCTCCTCTGAGTAGCTAAAATCCGAGCAAATCTATGGTACGCTGCTGGGACCAACTCCGAAATCTGCACAAGAAGTGCAGAGTGTAGTATCAGTACAACCGACCCCATGTACTGGTAAGTGCTGAGCCTAACCTCGACGAAGTAGTGACGAAGCTAAGGCAGGTCACTTACATTAACCTGTACGCAATATTAGTTAAAACAACAATAATAAAAATAAATCTGGTAACTCATTTTTAATAGTTGAGGCCAACTCAGCAGTCATAATCAATTATCATTTCAATCAATTTACGTTGCAACGTGCAACCCGTTTTCACAATATATTCATTTTTCAACTCTCCAATATATTTATTTAATCAAGTATATATATAGACTTTTAAATAAGTCTGTTGCAACGTGCAATCCGATCCCCCAATATAGACTTTTAAATAAGTCTGTTACGGCGTGCAATCCGATCCCCCCATATAGACTTTTAAATAAGTCTGTTGTGGCGTGCAATCCGATCCCCCCATATAGACTTTTAAATAAGTCTGTTGCGACGTGCAATCCGATCCCCCANCAATTACTCCAATAAATACCATGTCCAATGAGAAACTATTAAGCACCAAGGCACACAATAATTATAATTTATTTATGAACAAACAATAGCAATTAGCAATTTATTATGGAAATCAGGGAGAAAATAGGCAGTTTAATATTTAATATACTAAATGTCAAGTAGCAATTAATGCACATAAATCAAATAAGTATATAACAATTATTGCAGGAATTCAAGAATTAATATTTAACAAAGAATAGGAAAGAAACAATTATTATAAAAATTAATTCGTATATTAAAATAATTTATGATTTTTAAATAATTATGCAAACAATTAATTTGACGACGTATAGACACTCGTCACTTCGCCTATACGTGTTTCACATACATTTCAAATAACAAATAATTTAAGGAATCTATTACCTCAGGTCAAGGTTAACCACAACACTTACCTCGCTTTGCAAATTCCAATAAATTATTCGACCACAGCTTTTCCTTTTGAATTTGTCTCCAAAAGCATCAAATCTATTCACAAATAATTCGATATACTCAATACGAATCATAGGAATTAATTCTATATGAATTTACTAATTTTTGGGATAAAAATCTAAAATTTATTTAAATATTCGACTGTGGGACCCACGTCTCAAATTCCGAAAAAATTCACAAAATCCGAACACCCGTTTCACTACGAGTTCAACCATACAAAAGTTATCCAATTCCGAGGTTAAATGAACCTTCATATCTTAAATTTTCGTTTTGTGGAAGATTTTATAAAACTCTGATTTTTCTCCCAAAATTTGACGGATTCATGATATAAATGAGTATGGAATCATGAAATATAATCAATATAGGATAAGGAACACCCCAATATTTTTCCGTGAAAATCGCCCAAGAATCGCCTTACCCGAGCTCAAAAATGGAAAAGAGTTAAAAATAGGACGAATCCCATTTTCTAGAACTTAAGTTCTGTTTCTTGGCTTTTTACCCTTCGCGAACGCGGTCAGTGCCTCGCGTTCGCGAAGCACAAATTTTCGCTGACCAAATTTACTCTTCACGAGCACGAGGGCTACTTCACGAACTCGAAGCTTGCCTGGCTTGGCCTTTGCGAATGCGAAGGCAATTTCCTGGTTAGCCTTTTTCCCTTCGCGAACGCGAGGCTTTGACTGCGAAAGCGAAGCTTTGCACCTCAAGCCTTCGCGAACGCGTTCACTCTGTCGCGAACGCGAAGCACAAAATATGCCATCCCCAATTTGCTCTTCGCATTTGTGAGAGTACCTCTAAAACAAACGTTCGTCCTCAGACTCCCAAGTAGATGACTCTACCGACTGATCTCTCCATTGCACCCGAACTGAAGGATAACTCTTAGACCTCAAATGTCGGACCTGCCAGGCTAGAATCGCCACCGGCTCCTTCTCGTAAGTCAAATCTTTGTCCAATTGGACTGAGCTGAAATTTAACACATGGGACGGATCATCATGATATTTTCGGAGCATAGACACATGGAACACCGGATGAATCGCTGATAAACTAGGTGGTAATGCAAGCCTGTAGGCTACTTCACTCACCCTTTCACGAATTTCAAAGTGTCCGATATACCTAGGGCTCAACTTGCCCTTCTTTTCGAACCTCATTACACCTTTCATAGGTGAAACCCGGAACAATATTCTTTCTCCAACCATGAATGCAATATCACAAACTTTTCAGTCGGCATAACTCTTTTGCCTAGACTGAGCTGTGCGAAGTCGATCCTGAATAATCTTGACCTTATCCAAGGCATCCTGTACCAAATTGGTACCCAATAACAAGCCTATCCCGGTTCAAACCAGCCAACTGGCGAACGACATTGCCTTCCGTATAATGCCTCATATGGAGCCATCTGAATGCTCGACTGGTAGTTATTATTATAAGCAAACTCCGCAAGTGGCAAGAAATGATCCCAAGAACCTCCAAAGTCTAACACAAGCGCGAAGCATATTTTCCAATATCTGAATGGTGTGCTCTGACTGTCCGTCTGTCTGTGAATGAAATGCTGTACTCAACTCAACTCGCGTGTCTAACTCACGCTGTACAACCCTCCAGAAGTGTGAGGTAAACTGCGTACCTTGATCTGAAATAATAGACATAGGCACACCGTGAAGGCGGACAATCTCACGAATGTAAATTTCAGCTAACCTCTCTGAAGAATAGGTAACTACCACTGGAATGAAATGTGCTGACTTGGTCAACTTGTCCACAATGACCCAAACTGCGTCAAATTTTCTCTGAGTCCGAGGGAGCCCAACAACAAAATCCATAGTGATACGCTCCCACTTCTACTCAAGAGTTTCTAACTTCTGAAGCAAACCACCAGGTCTCTGATACTCGTATTTAACTTGCTGACAATTCAGACATCGAGCTACATATGCAACTATATCCTTCTTCATTCTCCTCCACCAATAATGTTGCCGTAAATCTTGATACATTTTGGCGGTACCTGGATGAATAGAATACCTGGAACTGTGTGCCTCTTCAAGAATTAATTCACGAAGCCCATCCACATTAGGCACACAAATATGACCCTGCATTCACAGAACTCCATCTTCTCCCACAGCAACCTGTTTGGCATCACCGTGCCGCACCGTGTCCTTAAGGACAAGTAAATGAGGATCATCATATTGCCTCTCTCTGATGTGCTCATATAAAGAATACCGAGCGACTGTGCAAAATAGAACCCGACTGGGTTCTGAAACATCTATCCTCATGAACTGATTAGCTAAATTTTGAACATCTGCAGCTAATGGCCTCTCACCAATCGGAATATATGCAAGACCACACATACTCATAACCTTTCTACTCAAAGCATCGGCCACCACATTGGCCTTTTCGGGGTGATATAAAATGGTGATATCATAGTCTTTCAACAACTCCAACCATCTTCTCTGCCTCAAATTAAGATTTGAAGGCTACGATGATCAGTAAATACCTCACACGAGACACCGTAAAGGTAATGCCTCCAAATCTTCAGTGCATGAACAATGGCTGCCAGTTCTAAGTCATGAACAGGATAATTCTTCTCGTGAACTTTCAACTGCCGTGACGCATATGCAATCACCTTGCCATCTTGCATTAATACTGCACCAAGCCCAATGTGAGATGCGTCACAATATATACCGTATACGATCCTGAACCTGTGGGTAATACCAACACTGGCGCCGTGGTCAAAGAGGTCTTGAGCTTTTGAAAACTCAACTTACACTCGTCTGACCATCTGAGTGGGACACATTTCTGGGTCAGTCTGGTCAATGGACTTGATATATATGAAAAACCTTCCACGAACCGACAATAGTAACCTGCTAAATCCCAGGAAACTCTAGATCTCTGTAACTGAAGTAGGTCTAGGCCAATTCTGAACAACCTCAATCTTCTTAGGATCCACCTTTATGCCTTCTGCAGATACAAAATGCCCCAAAAAGGCAACTGAGTCTAACAAAACTCACATTTTGAAAATTTGGCATATAACTGATTATTTTTCAAAGTATGAAGCACACTCCGAAGATGCTACTCATACTCCTCTCGACTGCTGGAGTAAATCAAGATATCATCAATGAATACAACCACAAAAGAATCCAAATAGGGCTTGAACACCCGATTCATCAAATCCATAAATGCTGCTGGGGCATTTGTCAACCCAAATGACATCACTAGGAATTCGTAATTCCCATACAGAGACCGAAAAGCCGTTTTAGGGACATCAGATGCCCTAATCTTCAACTGATGGAATCAGACCTCAAATAGATATTCGAAAATACCTTGGAACCTTGAAGCTAATCAAATAGGTCATCAATTCTTGGCAACAGATATTTGTT